ATCATCTTCTCATTTAACTTCCTGGCTGCAGGATCTTTCCATTAAATTACAGCTTATCCGCCCTCTCTTGGGAAGAGGATTTGATTCAGGCTAGTCTGTGCACTGTGTGTGTGTGTGTGTGTGTGCTGATACCTTCAAGTGTTTGGAAGGCTCTATGTCCAGGGTGTATCTCAAAGCAGATCCAAGCCTGGTTACCATGCCTACACATTTCACTGAGAGACACCGTGTTTATCTTAATGAATTCATTTTCAAGCTTCTGTTTGCCGCTGCATTCTCTGTCAGCTGTGTACACACTCTACATAGTTGTGGCACAGAGGCCTTCTCCATTGCTAAATGTGACCTGGGGAGGAAATAGCTTATTGATTCTGTGGGGGGGAAACATGATTAAATTGAGTTCCAAGTGGGCGCTTCATCTGAACTTGTCTACAGGAGAGAAGATAGGAATCTAGAAGAGACTGGCTGCTTTTGTCCAGAGTTCGGTCTGCTTTTGTTGTGCTTGAATTAATTATTAGTGAATATATATAATAATTATTATTATATATATTCACTTTACAAATGTGTCTTTTTACAGGCAATTTCCTCAACATTTTAATATAGCCTATTTAAAATAACAGATGGATGGATGGACAATTTCATGGTCTATTAAAAAATCCATAAATAAATGTGGATAAAAAAAGATTTGGATGTAAGGGACATGGGATCATGTAGTAGGACGATAGGCCCAGACTTTTGGGTGTTTTTGACCATAAAGCTTGTCACACCGTGTAACTGCGCACTGCCTCAGCTGCAGGATGTCTGCGGGTGCAGACAGAGCAATGAGAGGTACACACAGCAGCAAGCTTGACTTGGATGATATCTGCAGGGTAAGCGATGGGGAGCCTACAGCAAACAAACATTTTGGTTTCCAACACCTTGGTTGCACATCACTGAAGACAAGCGCAGAGCCAGAGCTGTTAACGATCTCTCACTCAGTCACCTACTGAAACTTTTGACTCCTTTTAGGTAGATCTTGTTCAATAAAGGTTCTCCTTTCATCATCGTGGCTCCAGCTGAATTATATTTTGGGCTTTTTGGGAGGAGCAAAAGTGCACGGCTGTAAAGAAGGGCGTACCAAACAAGTGCTTTGCAACAGAAAAGAATGAATCATTTTATGTCTGTTATCTTGTTTTCATAATTGCTGGAAGCCAAATTTGTAACTGAAATTAAAATGCAATTAACCACCCAGCCCCAATATAATAAGCTCAACAGTTAATTTGGGGCTACCTACTGTATTATTAGTTAAACATGTTGATTGTTATGACTTTGAAATACACACTGTTGGTATCAACATTGGCTGATAGCAGACACATTTTTTTCTTTGCATAGTTACTTTTAGTCTTCTGGTGAATCAAATAAATCTTTCTTATCAAAAACTGACATAACACAATAGATAAATATCAGCCTCTGGCATCAGGAATGTTTTTATTTGCTATAATGCCAATATTGGATTGATACTACAGATACAGTAGATAATAATCTACTTGTGCAACTCCAATAAATATTTATGGTTATTTCCAGGCACTGTCAAAAGGCGTGGGTTCACCGGAATGAAGTTGTTCTGCAAATACTAATGACTGTTTAATTAATTATTTGAATTAATTGAAACTGTTCGATATTCTTGAAACATAATGTTCAAGAATATCGGACATTATGTTTTGCACTGTTTGTTGTGCTTCCTTCCTTACTGTCTCATGCAGCTAGAGATGGAACAGACGTCGTGCACATTGTGTTCAGTAGGTGTGCTAATCAGGAATAGAGATCCCCTGATCACTGCCACAATCGCAGAGCGCACCATCTGTGATGCTCTGATGGCCGGCAGTCTGGCTGAGAGAGCTGGATAACAGTCTGGTACTGCCCCTCTCTCTCCTGTCCTCTCTGGCCTGCTCTCTGCTCTGCCTTAAGTCTCCTGCTGTATGACTTTTCTGTTTTACTTAACTGGAATAACCTGGAACCACTTATCACTGGCTTGCAGGCACTTCTTAAGCTATTACAATATAAAAAATGTAGTGCAATTTAAAAAAACAAGAAAAAAAGTCACAGTATAAGTGAGGCCCCACCTCTGCTATTAAAAAAAAAAAGAAGATATTTCTTGATCAGTGTCTCTGTAGTGCACCGCACCAAATAAATCCGCTGTCACCACAGATCTGGAAATAATTGAGTGGGGCTTATTAAAGTGCCACAGATAATGGGGAATAATAAATAAATGTGGGTAATTTCATTGCTGGAATTTTGTCTGTTTTCCATTTGCAGTCACAGGTCGTAAACAGTACCAGTCACATCTCCGGCAATAACGCACGGCGTCTTGCTGAGTTCAAATACAGTCGCAACTTGTTTGTGACGCCATTCCCAGACTGTGACCTGAGATAAGCACAGAAGCATGTAGCCTGCTGCAGTAAGCCGCTACACAATGCATCAACCCAGGAAAACTTTCAATGCATATGTGATCAGTATAAAGATAGGGGCACCCGTTGCCATGGCAACCTATACGAAAACCCATACAAAAAGATGCGCTGGCTGTCACATTGATTCAGAGAATCTGCCGAGAATACAGAAGTTGGTATCAGCCAAAGGCAGGCTGGCCTGCGTCTATCTGGGAGTGCCAGGTTAGAGGCTTATTGACCGTTTTTGACAGACTGACTAACAGACGAGTTTTTGGTAAAGTGGGCTGTGGGCCCAAAGTTCAATTAAAAGCCCCGCTCCGTGTGACGCAAGCACATTTGCCAAATGGTGAGAAAAGTGCAAATCGGTCTTCGTGCTTTCTCAGCAATCTGCTTGTCCTTCAGGGATATTGATGTCTCTGCCTTAACTCATTTTTTTCAAAACTCCATTTAGCGCTTCAGCACTTATCATATCCAGTCAGTTCGAAGGTAATTTCTAGGTACCAATAAGCACCTGCTTTGCAAACCCATAGCTACATTTTGAGGTTTTAGCGGGGCTATGAACGGTAAGTGTAACCACCTGCATTTTTCTCCTGCTCTCAGAGCAGCTGATGGGGGAGCGATGTGGTTCTGGTTTTAAATGTTCCTGCTTTCCTCTCTTTCAACCTTGCTCATCAGGCAGCATGTAAAGAGAGCTGCATTTTAAATCTGGAGACATGACACGGCTGTAGTCTTTCATCATGTACTGGTCAGATAGCATTTAGCAATTGCTGTTTGAAGCAGATAAGAGATGAGTCATAGATTAAAGCACTGGTAAACGCTAACTGCTAGAAGACAGCGGATTATCTCATTTTAAATTCAATTTGTGAATGAGTCCCTCCCTTGTGAAGTGAGAGCGATTGACAAGCGACACATCAGCACGGTGAAGGCAGAAAATAAGCCAGCTATATTTATGAGAGTTTACTGAGTGACTGATGTGCGTACACTTTCTCCTCGGCTCGGTTCACAATGTGAATAAATGTTTGCCTTCTTGCCTCCGTCCAAATCAGTGAATCAACTGAGCTCAAAGTGTGAATGAGCGGCAGAGAGAAAGGGGAAGAGGCTTTCCCCGGGGCAGTGCCCGGGACAATGTCAGGTTTGTCTGGCCCGAGTGCATGAACACTAAGCTTTTCGGAACTGGCAGCTCGCCCCGGTACCTACCCATCTCACACAGCTTCCAGAGCTGCCCAGCCCCGGAGCACTAAGCATTTGTGCAAAGTTCATAAGGCTTCCCTCTGTTTGTGTGGCCATAATGGAAGCTCCATCCTGTTGTAGCTCAAAGAGTGTTAAGGGGCTCTGAGGGCCTGGAGCTGGCGTTGCAAAGGCGTGTGAGTGTTCTCAGTTACTGACTTTGGCTGGCTGCACTCATTATGAAAAGACTAGTGTCCCCCTGTAACCCCCCCTCCAAGTGGTAGTTCCGAATCTCAAGCTCCAACATAAGCATTTCCTTCATCAGGTTTGCATTTTAAAAGCAGTTTGCTGAATAAAGACCTCAAGCTAGTTTTAAAAACCAAACAAAAAATACCTCTGCCACCTCTGCCACAAAGCAAAGAACGCTCTGGACTAAAATATTCAGTAACTAATGGATGTAAGTGAATGGTAAATGGACTGGTTCTATTCTATTCACTCTACATGTCTCATTCACCCATGCATTTCTTTCTGTGTCCAAGTACTTTATGTATAACATTCATCACATGTGCGTAATTTATTTCTTATTTATTTATGTCTTTTTTTATTTGCAACAGGCCAATAAGATACATTAGCTAGTTTCTAGCGTTCATGTACAAAAAAAATCCCCTGGCCTTAAAGCCTGGTGGGGGGTCAGCTTAGGCCAGGCAGGCCACTGGACTAGTAATACACATGCACAAACCCCTGCTGTATCTGCTCCACCTTATACTTGTATACAATCCTCACGAGTGATAACAACCTTGTCATTAGCGTCATCAAGTTCTGTCAAGCAGCAATGCCTTTACCGTGGTTACGACCTGCATCAGCATAATTCAAGCATGACCCTCCTCCCCCCTTTCATTTTCAAGTCTTTGACTAAGGTCCACACCATACATCATCCAGACTGGGAGTCCTCCCTTCCCCCTTCATGTGTTATGAGGGAGAGAGAGAATGGTTTGGTGGAGGACTCTTATCAACAGTCTCAGCACTCTCTGCACACTATGATTTCCCCAGACGTGTCACCCACCTTCCACTCAAGTCTATCTGTATGGTCGTGAAGTTCCTGTTCACCAGTGTGAAACAATCAGGTCCACTTGAATTAAAGACAAATTTAAAAAAAAGAAACCAGTGGCTTTTCCACTGCTTACTGTGGGGAGATAAGCCATGTGAGCGTGCTTTAAAAGCTCCAACAATGGCTAATGCTGGGCGACAATCTTCAGCGGTATTAACAATTAAGCAGATTGTCGTTGGCTGACAGAAGAAGATTGGAGCAAGAGCAAAGCTCAACAGATTTTCACACAGCGGGTGATCGGCACTCCCACCCTGCTTACTGTTCATATTTTGCTCTTCAGCTGGCTATTGCAAATTAACACATTTTATCGAGCCTTCAGGTGCACACGTCTCTGCTCATGCTGAAGGGAGGTGGAGGGGCGAGATGGAACTTGCATTCCTCAACTCTCCTCTGAATAGCCTTTAGATCAGGCTTTGTGGGAATGATTGTCAGTGGCTTAATGAGTGCATTTGCCAAGCTGGAGGTTTTGGCAACATGTATGACTGCGGCGGCTCTGTGCGTGTTCACCACCGGCTTCTGTGACACAACAGTGGACTGGGCTCAGCACCCTCTGTGTTTTCGTTCTTCTTTTTCTGCCGTACTCAGAGTTTTCCTGTCATGCTTTCTTTTTATTGGAAATGTTATTACCTATAACGGAATTGTTACCCTTCCCATGGGCACCGGTGCCGGAAATCAAGTGAAAGCTTGTAAGTACCCTAGATAATATAAGGATGTCAGTAAAGCTGTTGCAGCACATTCAGGTTCATATTCTGGCCTTTCAGTGTGCAGGCTTCTACAAAAGCAAAGGCCATAAAGAAAAAACAACTGCTTTTTAATTCACGTTTTAAAATATTTAAAGGATAAAACAGACGCTGGTGCCGTTGGTTGCCTTCTTGCGTTTTCTAAATATAATACACTTTAGATAAAGAGCAGGCGATGTATCGTATGGAGGAAAACCAATCATTACAGTTACTTTTCATTTCAATTCAGTTCTATTTATATAGCACCAATTCACCAAACAGTCGCCCAAGGGTGCTTTATATTGTATAGTAAAATCCCTGCAATAATAATTCACAATCATTTACTTCCAAAAGATTTTCCCTTGTTTTTTATGCAATAGATTTTGAAATACTAAACCAATGCCAAATCTTCTCTGTGACTAATTACGTTGTGCTACAACTGTCACAAGAAAAATGAAATGTTAAAGAGTAAGTAATTGTTCCTTCTGGTCTCATTTAGTCAGATGTCTAATACATTAATGATTATTATCATATTTATTATGGGACTAAGTGCCCATAGTTTAAGTAATTGGAGACATATTACGTGACAAATTAAAAGTATTGTCTAGATATGTGTGAATTTGGCACTTTATGTCTTTGTAAGGATTGTGTAACAATGTTTCTGTGTAGTTTTTACTATAAATCTAACTTGACCTTATGTTGACTAAATGAAACAACAAAATAGGACTATGAGACTCGACATAAAAAGTAAAAATAAAAATAATGTGGAATAAAAAAGTCATTTTACCCCACTGAATGAATCAAGGCAATTAGGATGACTTTTCTTAAAGGTCATGTTTTTCTGGTGTTCACAGTTCATAGAAAAATGCTCAGGATTTACTGGAACTGGAACAACAAAGATATTGATATATTTGATTCTGTTAAATAGAAGATGTAAGAAATAACCATATCTGTATTTACTCAATGTTTGGATGCTTAAATTGACTTTAGAAGAGTACATCTCCCTCTTTCTCTCTCACACACACGCAAATTAGTGTGCAAACACATACTGTCTTTCCAGATCCTCGCTAAATGTGTTTAGTCTGACTCACAGTTGGAAACTTGATTGCATTTTGACAGTCTGGATCTACTCTGCAGTGATGAGAAGAGGCAGAGAGACATCATCATGATTTGGCATGAACTGGGACTTTATTTTGTCTCTTTGAGCAGCGTGGATGGTACATTTGGATCACCGTTAAACTGAATCCTGGGCCGGTCTCAGTGTTTGACTGATTTCAGTAAATTAACTGTCACTCCTTGTTGCGGTCATGAAGACCACAGTGGCTAACAAGTCCATGTTCTTAAGGTGGAAGGCTCTCGCCTACATATCGGTGTTTTCACAGTGGTAGCGGCTTAATATGTTTACAACAGACGATCCTTCTGTCAGTGCTCATCTATCCCTGTTTTTAAGCAGTCGTTTTATGACTTGTTATAATTAATGTTTTCACAGTGGCTTTGAAATAAACTCCAAATGGGCATTTACATCATTCTTGAACTTATAACAGGTGTATGGGTACATGCACTGCACAGCACCCCTGATAGCGTAATTAGGCTATTGCCATTGTTCTTTGACATTTCTCTCCGACGTAGGGATTTAAAGCAGCAGCATGCAGTACACTCTGTCAGGATCATTTCCAAGGAACTCGCTAAACAAATCCAGACTCTATCCACATTTGTTCTTCTTCCTGTCCTTTGCTTCTTGCCAAGATACATTTACGTCAAACTTGCACGAAGCAATTAAGGTGTTGACTTTTCAGCTGACCTCAAGGTGCATCACTGCAGACCTCACATTAGTTTTATGTACTCATCCACTCATCTACTCAAAGATAGCGTTCTTGGAAGCATCTCGATTTCATCGGTTAAGTGGTTTAAAAGAAGTGTGCCAAAGCAGGCTGTAATGAAACTGCACTGAATGTTTGGAACTGTTCCCTTTAAAGAAGAAGCTTCCTGTGTCTTGCTTCATGTCTAGATGTTTTGAGGTTGTTGAATTTGTACATTGAGTAAAAAAAACCTGGAAGCATTTCTTTAAACAACTGGAAACATGTTTTAGCCAATCCCTCATGTAGCTGTTTGAAAGTTGCTGTTGATAGCTGACAGACTAGATTACTTTTTGATTTGCATTTGTAGCTGGAGAGCAGCTAATATAAACACTGAGATTTTGCCTTGTTGTGTTTAAACACTGTAAATCTTTAGACTGTAGTTTTCGCCGTCCCATTTGTCACAAGATAAACTCTGTTCGACCCTAATAAGCGACAGAGGGGCGAGGGAGTGAGGCCACACATCCGACAGATGTGTCAAAAAGCTTAGCCAGGGTAACACTGTCCAGATGCTCAGCTCTAGCACGAAACAGGAAATTCAAATGAGGAATTTCAGCAAGCAGAGAGCCTCTCATTTCACAGGCTGAAATGATCACTTGGACTGCATGTGTATGAGACACCTGAAGGGATTAAAAACCAAGTGCGAAAAGATATTTCTGGAAAAAACAGGTTTCCCCAACACCTGTAGGGACATCCGAATTTCTTGGTTGTTGGCAGAAATAAATTGCTCACAGGGTCTGATGGAAGTAAGGATTTGGGATATGAGAGCCATCGATCATGTCCTGCTGTGGCACAGTTTCATCTGGGGAAATTGCCAGCATCACTCAGACTACATGAATGAATGTGGAGTGGAGCACAAAATAATACTCCAGTGCCCGCAGTCCAACTTGCGAATTTCATCTCTTTGCCGGGCTACTCAGCGAGGATCACACGCTAATGTGATTATTGTCCTGGGCAAGGGCCACTCCTGTGGGACTTCAAAGAGAGCAGATCAGAGAGAAAATGAAAAAAGCTGTAAGCTGTGATGCAGACAGGTGCAGTGCAAACCTTCCTTTAGCTTTAAACATATTAACAGGTTCAGAGTGAGGACTCTGAAAGCATGGCACATACATCCTGGATGATTTATTACCATGTCATGTGACATGCTTTGGCGATCCATCCAAGTGTTTTCATTAGGCATATGAATTATGCAACAGACGATAATTAAAACTCATAATTCAGAGCAGAAATAAGAGTTAGTGGCTACCATATATGACGAGGGTTTGTCTGTACACGTTTCAGTCCTGTTTCTTAATATTACACGTAGACTTTACAGAGACACACTGCTGAAGGGAAAGATGTTGTGTGCTTGTATTTATAAAGAATAGAGCAGAGACATTACTGACAAGATGACAACTTCTAGTGATTGAAGAGCTCTTCAGTTGTTTATGCTCTCTTTTGTTTAATGAACTACAACATACATGCTCATACTTCCAGCTGGTCACATGATCGTGTTGCTGCAGTTGCAGATTCACTGCAGTGTGTAGTATATCTGCCTCTCTCAGGTAGTGAGAGTTCATGCAGGGTTACGAAGGCCTTTCCTCATTAGTTCATACACAACACAGAGGTCACAAACCCCTCAGCTCATCCGTACACCCACTCTATTTCCTTTACACCTGAGGATCTCTTCTCATTTCTCATCCACAGCCTCTTCCATCCTCATCCTGTCACCACAGCGCTCCCAGTGCTCGCAGCATCCGAAGGCTAGAGATCCCTGAAATATTAATGGTGTGGTAATTGAACAGTCTTGCTTTCTGAAGTGCTGTAAAGCCAGATCTCAATTAGTCAAGCATGTTATCGCTTATTGCTTCCTATACTCATTTATCATCTTGTTTCTGTTTTCTTTTTTCTCATATTTTAATATCAGATGAATTGCATGGTCAAGCTTGTAGAAAACTACTGATAAGGATTATAATTGCCAAAAGGTTAGAATCTTATCTAAATTCAGAGGAGTAAATGGGAAAGACAAAATGTCTAAACACAGGAAAATTAATTTTGACATAAAAGAAAAAACAGTTTTATTTTTCCACCCTGATCCAGGCAGCGTGTGTGAATCGCATGCCAAATGAGCAACTGATTGGAGAAAAGAGGAACAAAATGGCTGGAAAAACAACTCATTACACACATCAGAAGCAAAGCAAGTCAATTGCAGCTTAGTGTTAATCAGCTGGTCCATTGTTTTAATTGTTCTTGAATGATCAAATGGGAATCAGAGTGGAGGCATTATCAAGACTATGAGAGGGGCGTGCGGAGCTGCTGTCTTCCCATCGCAGGTCTTTAGCACGCAGGATATTTTAATCCAGTCTGACAAGACGAGGATCTGCTTAATCCTATTACAGGCTTGCACATTAGACTACAGTAGACCCACACTTCTCTGCCTGTTGTCTTTGTGTGTGAAAGGAGCAGATGGTGCCAGCTCAAGGGCCTACTGTAGTGAACTTTGTATGGCCCTGCTTGGACCCCACCCTGTTACCAAACAACGTGTTCGCAAGTGTGAAGAATGCTCCCGAAACAACTTGCTAGTGTGCTATTTTTCCTTGAAATACTTCCTTACATTGTCTGATCCTTTTATGTGATCTGTTAGTACATGTCTATGGCTTAAAGTTTGGGTGTTAAGCTAGAGCAGATGGCTAAACTATAGGAGTCAAGAAACCGATAGACACATCCTGCCAGTTGTACTGTGAAGGCGTGCCAGAATTGTTTCCTTAAGTAAAAGGCTGCGTAGTGATACAGTAAACAGTACTAGAGTGTGAAGAAAAGCAGTAAAGCTCTTGGAATCAACGCCAAGAAGTTAAAAGGCACTGAATTTATTCATGTAAAAATAAGGCCTTAATTTGAACTGACAGTTAATTTGTAAGTCAGTCTTTCAAATGTCTTCAAAATGCTAAAACGTGAGCAGTAGGATTTTAGGATTTTATTAGACGTAGCGATTCAGAATTTTAAAATCTTTTTTTCATTATGATTTCTTCAGTAATGATGGCAAATAGCAGTTAAATCCCCGCCTGCTCCACTCTGCATCTTGAAGGTACTTAGCGTTAAACTGCTGCTTAAGAGCCTATTGGTATCTTTGAATATGATGAAAATGATGTGCATTTATTTTAACTGAGAACACGTGCTGTGGGTGCACTCACAATGACGTGAAGAAGCACAAATTCAATCAAGGTGTTTATGAAGTATGCTGTATTTTGTTTGAAGTGTAAAATTGGGTACAGTGGAAAATATCGCAGTCCCCACATGTGAACACGTTTTTACATGAAAGCCTATATCAGCAAAATTAAATTAGCTCACGAACAAGGATACCTTTGTTGTTAGAGTATGTAAAATCTCACCACTAGATGTCAATAGTCAACTGCATAATCCTGTGGGACAAATAACTCTGGCTGCCGTTCATCTGTAGTGAGTGCAGTCAGCTGTTACCTCAGTTTGTGTTCACACCTATTTACTCTGGACAAGGCTGTAAAACCTTTTGAAAGGAGCCTGATACAAACCAGTGAAGCTCACTGTCGTGTGATGAAAGCTATACTGAGGTGAGTCGTTGAGGAACATTTCTGTCAGTAAGCGCTGCTTCTGTTAGCTGCTGTTAACTGGCGTTAGTGTAAGTGTGTTTGATCTAACATTGTTGTACTGACACTTAGTTAATAGTGTCAGTTAATATATTCCATTACAATGTGATGGTGTAATCAAACTTTTTATCAGAGAGAATATATGATTTTTAGGACACTCAAGCCTACAATTAGCTGGCACGATGTTAATATTAGCACACGTCTAATCTGCATACAATAACCGCCGTATTATTTGGAATAAATAAGCACATTTATGCATGTGTGTTAGAGCCTTTACTTTAATCTGGGAGATGACGCTTGAGGTGAGGAAGATGAATATTTTTTTCTATTAAATAACCGCAAAAGTGACTGACAACACCTTTAAAACACAAGCATCAACTAGCTCAACAAATGCAAATGGGTGAACCTAACACAGAATAAATGATGTAGTTTTTGTTTTCTGCTTTTGTTGTTGTGAAGTTGGTCTTACATTTAATTCTGAGTGGCATTAAAAAAGAAGGAACACAGCACATTAGATAGAGCATATAATAGAAAAGCACATCTCTAAAAAAATCTATTTCTCTTTTCACAGTATGAGCTGATAGAACATTTCCCTCAAAAAAAATAAAGGTTTAATCAACCGACAGCACACGTCCTTGTAGTCAAAGAGAAAGGAGAGACGAGAGCTTTTTCCAGGAGTCTCTCAGGTTCACGGTTACCTTAAGTGTAAAGGACTGTCTGGGAGAAATAAGGTAAATAAGGTGTCTGGGATAAAACGGATGTAGCTACTGTGGCTATTTATGGCCCGGTTTGCATGCTCTGTGAATCAGACTGTTTAAAAATGGGGCTTACAAAGACAGGAACCTAAATTTATAACCTGGAACATTACCACCAAGCACTGCACAGAGAGACAAAGAACAGTCCCAGGCACCAGCAATTAGACTCGCAGGGTTTGGCTGTGGACAGTTGTTCAGGAATTTGTAGACTTTATTTTAGACTCTTACAAGTTGATGGTTGATTGCTGTTTTGTACATCACAATATAAATCAAGAATATAATTAGTAGATCACTTGGAAGTCACAGGCCTTATCCCCACTTTTCTTTGCTAGTAAAAAAGGCTGATTTATTTTTAATTGATTAATGTTCCAGTTATACTTTGATTTATTCTTGTAGTCGATGTAATGTCAACAGATAGTGGAAAATTCTCTCTCTCTACTGCCCAAGTTAATTTCTCTAAGTTCTCCATTAACTAAATCCCTAAACCCAAAGATTATTAACTTGTGTTATTATGAAAACACAGTGGTTTCCTTTTTTTTTGAGAATGTGAAAACAGGACACCCCCCGCCCCCTTTTTTAGCCCTAATACATCAATGGCATAATTTGAGAAAGTAAGGGAATGGCAAGACATTAATGATGCTATCACAAGTGCCTTTGTTTTAAATGGATAAGTAATCAAAAATGACTTGGTCTTGTTGACAACGAGGAAGTCTATCAAAGAGTGCACTGAATCTGTCACTCGGAGAGAGCCTTAAAGTTGCACAGGCAGATTCCACTTGGCCCATTTCCCTCCATGTGCCCCCCCCCTCCACAGCGCAGCTTCTGTCTCGTCTGAGCCTTGGCCGAGGAAGGTTAGGGTTCATACTGGCCTTCCCACAGCGAGCAGCTTTTAACCTTCTGCCAGCTTCATCAATCTCTGGCTGGTGTGATTGCTCTTGAAAGAGGCGGGGATTAAGAGCAGCCCACGGTCTGTAAATCAGCTTGAGAGAGAGTGGTGCCCTCTCTCCTGTGCATCATATAGTTCCAATAGGCACCATACCCTGTGAGTTCAATGCAGACTTCATCACTCGCAGCAGTTAAGCTCTTAGCGGACCTCCCTCAGCCAGATGGCCAAGTGAGTTCTCAATAAATGTTTAACGAGGGGGGAACAAATTAAATCAGAAGGCAAATGATCAGGCACAGTTTGAACCAAGTGTAATCCATCGAAGGTGTTGTTAGGTTGGTAAAGGATTTTGGCCGGCACAATAAGACAATGAAAGCACATTCTCTTCTGGGGATTGTAACCTTGGCCCTCGCTCCTTAACCAGGTGGGGCTTACCAACAATGCACAAGGTAATTAGCACAAAACCCTTAGCTTTTAATTAGGATCTGTTTGATTATCATAAAACACCATGTGTGGGAAGGCTAAAATAAAGAAAAGCCTGAAGCAGTTTCCTGGATGAGTTTGACACACAAATCTTCAGTTGGAAATATACCCAATAGACATAAATTGTGATGGAGTGGGTTGATGTATGTGACATACAGCACCTAGCACCTTGTTGGTAATGCTGTTTGTGGGTGGGGCATAGGTCACACATTGGTTCAGGCAGACTCAATACCATTACCATGAGGTATGGTTGAAGAGTTCAGAGTGCACATCCATCTGACAGCACGCCTGCATCCAATGAATGAAATCGACTCTTTTTTCCCCCCCTCTGGTCAATTATTCAATTACACTCCTTGAACAGGAGTTTGACCTCAGTGTTGCCTATTGAACTGAAGAAAGCAGCCAGAAGATTAAGAAAAGGGTGAGCTGGATTTGAGCGCTGTTGTAAAGAGGAAGCTCTTTTAAAGATACTGATCAGTTGGTTGAGTAGTAGTTACTGTGCCGCTCATATCTTGGCTGCTACACTTGATACTTTCCTTGACATTAATTGGTTTGATTAGCAACATTAATAATACAGTAATTGCAATTACTGGATTTTATCCTTTGTGATGCTCTTTACTACATTTCAGTTTTACACGAATGGCACGAGTTCCCTGTAGGCCAGCAGCTTTAAGATTTCTCTAAAACTCTAATGTTTCTGTATTAGTCTTCTGTTTTGTTGTTAGCTGCTGAGCTAATTACTCCAGCATGACCTGCTGAGCTGGGTCACAGCCAACATGGGGACGACTAATGAAGCGACACCCCAGAGGTTTCTTATAGTACTGCTCCAAGACATTAGAATTCCCATACATTGCTCTGGACCGATCATGCGCTCATTATGGTCCAGACTCTCGTCTATTGGATGGAAAATTATCCAGCACTCTGTCCTCTTGCAGCTCTGTCGGTGTGCAAGTGCAGACAGCTTACTCAGTCTGACTGTTAACTATGTATGCTTTTTATGTCTCCCACCCCTCAGGCAACAGTATTTGCTGCAATAAAAGATAAAATGGTCCGCATTCGTAATCTCTTTGAGTCATTGTTATCAGAAACATGCAGGCACAGATCAAAACAGCACGATGATTAAATCGGCCAAACTTTGATGGTAATTTTGATGTTGATTTCAATCTTGGCTTTTTCCAAAAGTAATGCTGAACATCTGCCACGCATTAATAAATCCACAGGCTCCCTCATTTGTTTATTTCTTTCCATTGTCGCTTGAGAAATATGCTTTGTGCCGCACACTTCTGCAGACTACAAAACAATGTGAGCCCCATGGGGAAATGGGATGATAGGAGGCTTTAATGTGAATATTTCTCCTCTTTGTCACACCAAAATATGAACTAGTTCAGAACTGAGTCCCCGTTGATGGGAATGAAAATGTGTGCCTGGTTATGCCTGGCTGAGCAGAGAGCAGTCGGGCTTGGAGTCACGGGGGATTTGTTTTGTTTGGGTTTTTTTGCCTTTCTGTCTGCCAGCGCGTGGGTGGATTCATGGGGTCTTCTACATCTGTGCTACTTTACAGGTACTGCATCTTCACCATAGTCATGAACTGAAAACAAAGTGGAGAGCGTTAATTTCCTGTGACTGTCCGAGATCTCGACACTATGACGTTGCTGAGGAGCCCCAGACTGGCCACCGTGCTGTTGATGGTTATCTGTATTTGTGCCTTTCATACGACCTCAGCCATTGACATCCCGCTGGAAGGTAAGTCATGACTCTTTCACAAGTCACACATTCACAACAAAGGATGCAGGATGATTCAGGAGGGGGTTCAGTGGGATGACAAAAGAAATAGAAAAGAGTTTTCTTAGAGCCTTTTCTTTTGTACCAAAGAAAACCTCCTCTACTGAAATAACCATGACATCATGTGGATTATCCAGATAAAAAGATACATTATGTCTAAGAACATAACTCTGCTTTCAAGTTTGAATGTAATTTTTGTATTCTGTCAACACCACAAAAGAAAAAGACAAAATCCCCTAAAAACCTCATTTCCACTGTGGTTTTTTTTGGGAATTACAGGAATTATCAGAGAAATGCATACCGGAAATTTGGCAAATAAAACCAAACGTCTAAGAATAAAAGAGACTATTAAAGCGGCTATGCTCTTGTCAAAATAATAATGTGAAAACAAATGCTTTAACTAAATTCTTAGCTGCCCAGGTATGCATCACTGTTTTTGCCTTCATTTGCAGGAAGTAGCTGTTTTCAGAAAGCTTTAAAATCTAACAATACAGCACATGCTCAGTGCAAGCATAGTGAAGGATTAGCTAAAGAGCTATGCATTAACCAGACATTTTATTAGGTATACCTTGCTCGCACTGGGTTGGATCCACTTTTGGTCCATATTCACATATCCCTCAATTGCTGCAGATTTGTCTGCTGCACATCCATGTAGTGACTCTCATTCCACCACATTGCAAAGGTGCTCTATTAGATTGACATGTGGTGACTGTGGAGGCCATTTGAGTACAGTGAATTCAGTGTCATGTTCAAGGGACCAGTTTGAGAAGATTTGAGCTTTGTGACAAGGTGTGTTATCCTGCTGGAAGCAGCCATCTGAAGATGGGTACATTCTGGTCATAAAGGGATGAACGTGGTGGGCAACAACACTCAGGTGGGCTGTGTTGTTTAAATGATGCTCAGTTGCCTCAAGTTGTGCCAAGAAAACCGCATTATTACACCAGCAGCAGAAGCCTGAACTGTGTCTGATTCTACCATCCACATGTTGTAGCAGAAATAGGGATATTTTCTCTCTTTTGGACCATTCTCTTTAAACACTAGAGATAGTAGTGCAGAAAAATCCCAGTAGATCAGCAGTTTCTGAAGTACCACTCCATCTGGCAGCTACCCTACCTTCAAAGTAACTTAAATCACCTTCCTCCTCCATCCTGATGCTCAGGCTGATCTTCAGCTGGTCGACTTGACCATGACTACATGCCTAAATGCACTGAGTGGCTGCCATCTGACTGTAGCAGCTGACAAAGTGGCTGATGAGTGTTTAAAGATGAATGCAGCCTCTGTACTTTGAGGAAGTACAGTCTAACTTCTGATTTAATGCTTAGGTGAAATCTTTCCTGATGACTTTATTGTCTCAGTCACTAGTTTCAAGCTCAAAACATCTGGTTTAATAAAAACAATGTAGTTTCCAAACTCCAGCTTTAGTTCAGGCACACCACAAAAGTGAGCTCAGCTCTAATTCCAGTAGATCAGATAACCTGTGCCAGTCTACATCAGATGATTGCTCTGCTGATTCATTTCTTCACAATCATTTGGCGTCTGCGAGCCACTTAACAA